TGCATGGCTGGACCTTCAGAATCTGTGAATGAATTAGATGGTGCTCCTTGGAACCGCAGCGCCGTTCCTGCTGAGATTTCTCTGCATCACGCCTCCTCCCCTTCTTCTGCATCTGTGCCGGTTCCACCTGGGGATGAGTGGATTCGAGTGGGTACAAGACCCAAGACCCGGGTTTTAGCCTCTATGCCGGTTCATTCTGGCTCACAAGCCCATCCATCCTGGTCGGAGGTTGTGCGGAACGGTCGGAAACTGTACCATCCTCAGTTACCGGAGTCAATACAGCCTCATCTGGAGCTTTCCAATCGTTTTTCACCCTTGTCTACTGGAGCTTCTAACCTTCCACTTGGTGAAACTGCAGACCCGCCGGCAGCTGGCCGGGCGGCACCTTCTTCACCTCCGAGAGCGGCGTCCCACAAACCGGGCCGAAACTCTGCCATCCGGACGCAGCAGGTATCTGGGTTGTCTTCGTCTGACCGTCGCAGGCTGATACTGAATGCAGTTATTCGCAGACGTTCTGGATCTGTTTATTCAGAAACCCGCCCTTCAGAAGAGACTCAGCATAAGTTCCAGTCTGACGTTAAGAGCCACTCAGCCTGGTACCGCGCGTCCTCCACCAGAAGCTGCAGTTCAACGCCAGCTGGAATCAGGACGTGGCGGTCCTGGTGCAACTCCATCTGCTTTGGTCCTCGGGTGCTCTGTGGTGAGGCATGTCCATTTTGCTGGTGCGAAAACTTTATGCTATTCTGGTGCACGAGTATTGGATATTGATTCTAAAATCCCACTGCTGCTGGACCAAAACCCTGCTGCTTCATCTGTTATTCTACACATAGGCCACAACAACCTGAGAAATATGCAGTCAGAGATACTCAAATCTGATTTTAAGTGCATTATTGACACTTTTCTTCAATCAGATCAGCGACTCATTATCTCTGGCCCTTTACCTTGCCCCAGCTTCAGAGACGTCAAGTTCACTCATGCTCTTCAGCTTCACACGTGGCTGAAGGGCTACTGCCGTAAACTTGGCATTCTGTTCGTGGACAACTTTATGGCCTTTTTAAATCGCTCATATCTTTTTTAAACTGATAGGGTTCATCCAAACTCACTAGGGTCTCGTATCCTGACCAAGAATATAGAATTTGCATTAACCTCATCTAATAGAAATCTGAACTGATGTTCATTGAGTCCGCTCCATATTAGTGATTATCAGTATGCATCACTGATACCTGTTATTATTACCCATAGGCCTAATCACAGCAATTCTACAGTGAAGCGCAGGAATCTAAACAATGTACATTTGGTTTGGACTCTGCCTACTAGACCAAAACAAGATTACATCAAGATGTCCTTACTTAATGTCAGATCAATAACTAATAAGTCTTTTATTGTAAACGACCCAGTAACCATTCATTCTGTGGAATTGATGTTTTTGACTGAAACTTGGTTAGATCAAACTGGAACTGCTGTGCTCAATGAGACTGCGCCTCATAACTTTAATTTTATTCACACCACCAGATCAGGTAAAAAAGGAGGTGGAATAGCTGTCGTTTTCTCTGACTCTTATGGCTGCAAAAACATTAATCTAGGCAAATTCTTTTCATTTGAATATCTTGCTATATCCGTGCATTGCAAGAATCCAATACCGATAATAACAGTTTAGCGTCCTCCAAAATCAAAGTGTGGGTTTTATGAGGAATTATCTGAATCACTATTGAAGGTTTCTATAAATTTTGAGCAGTTACTTATTTTAGGTGATTTTAATATTCATGTAGATAAACAGGAGGCCCCAGAAGTGAGACAACTTTTTAGCATCCTTGATGCCTTCAGTTTAACTCAGCATGTATGTGGGCCTACTCACAACAAAGGTCACACTTTAGATTTAGTTATATGGAATTGTCTTAATGTTACTGCTCCTGCAATTATAGATATGGCTATATCTGACCATTCCTGTTTATTTTTAATGTTTTAGCTGTTCCTCACAAGCTGCATAACCCTCAGGAAGCCAAAAAACGTTTTATAGACAATAGCACAATAGAAAACTTTAAGGAAATTATATATAAATTGCCTGTGTCTACAAGATCGCAAACAGATGATCTAGTGATGACTTTTAACTTCAAATTGGAAAATTTAATGGATCAAGTTGCACCCTTTCAAACTAGACGCATAAAACAACACAAACCTCCATGGAGGAAAGGACTCGAAATCAGAGCCTTAAGGAGGACATGTCGGCAGGTAGAACGACAGTGGAGGAAATCTAAACTTCAAATTCATTGTGATAATTACAGGGACCAACTCTGAGTACAACAAAGAAATGAAAAGAAGCAGAATTGACTTCTTTTCTAAAATTATAAATGAAAATATTAACAATAGTAAAGTCCTTTTTACTACAGTCAATAAGATTATTATTCCTCCTTCTGGTCTTCCTGCTGAGATGTCATCTTCAGCGAAATGTGAGGAATTTGCATCTTACTTTAACAGTAAAATTGTGAACATTAGGCAGAATATTTCCAGATCCATTTATGACCTCATACAACAGCATTCCAGTACCGCACTCTGTACTATGACTCATTTTGAGCTTTTAAATGGTAAAGCACCAGATATCCTGATTAAACAACTAAAATCGTCCACTTGCTGCCTGGATCCTATTCCAACAATCTTTTTAAAAAATATTTTCCCCTGTGTCAAATCTGATGTTTTGGAAATCATTAATTTGTCACTTTAATCAGGAATGTTTCCCAGCACGCTAAAAATAGCCGTCATTAAACCCTTGTTAAAAAAGAGTGGCCTTGATCCAACTGCGTTCTCCAATTATAGACCGATCTCAAATTTACCGTTTCTTAGTAAACTTCTGGAGAAAGCAGTTTTTATTCAGATTAATCGTTACCTTATATCTAATAACATCTTTGATACTTACCAGTCTGGTTTTCGCAGTAACCACAGCACAGAGACAGCTCTCATTAAGGTTGTTAATGACCTACACATAAGCACGGACTCTGGCAAAGTAACTGTTCTTGTCCTTCTGGACCTTAGTGCTGCATTTGATACAGTTGATCATGACATTTTGTTAGAGAGGCTAGAACACTGGGTTGGTTTCTCCGGTCCAGTTCTTAGTTGGTTCCAAACATACCTTAGAGATAGGGAGTCATTTATGTCAGTTGGGGGTTTTAACTCTAAAAAAATTAGTGGTTACTTGTGGTGTTCCTCAAGGTTCTATCCTTGGTCCGCTATTATTCAACCTGTACATGCTTCCTCTTGTGCACATTGTTCAGAGGCACAATATTAATTATCATAATTATGCAGATGATCTGCAGTTATATATTTCATTGTCTTCTGGTAATACAGCTCCTCTTCACTCTCTTATACAATGTATCAAGGGTATGGATGTCTGGATGTCTGAAAATTTCTTACAATTAAATCAAGACAAGACAGAAATTCTGGTATTTGGTCCAAACGCACAGAGACAGACAGTGGTAGACTTTCTTGCTTCTCTGTCTCTTAAATGTAAAAATGAAGCACGAAACTTGGGTGTATTTTCAGACAGTAACCTGAATTTTAAAAAACACATTAATCATACAACTAAAATAGCATTTTTTTCATTTACGTAACATTTCTAAAATCAAACATTTGATCTCAAGAACTGACCTCGAAAAGCTAATCCATGCATTCATAACCAGCAGGCTCGATTATTGTAATGGTCTTTTAATTGCCCTTCCTCTACGCTATTTACAGATTGCAACTGATTCAGAATGCGGCTGCTCGTGTTCTGACTGGTACAAAGAATTCTGAACACATTACTCCTGTTTTAAGATCTCTGCATTGGCTACCAGTTGAAAAACCAATTGATTTTAAAATCCTACTGCTTGTGTATAAAGCTCTCAATGGCCATGCACCACTATATATTACAGACATGCTAGTACCTTATACGCTGGTCAGACCACTCCGGTCTGCAGATCAGGGCAATCTGGTGATACCGCGTACACGTTCTAAGTCAGGGGAGGCTGCCTTCAGTGTCTATGCACCTAAGATCTGGAATACTCTGCCTTTAGAGAAGAGGGAAGCAGCTACAACAAATATTTTTAGGAGAAATTTGAAAACCATTTTATTACAACAAACATATGGCTAGGTTGTTTCATTTCTAATTTATTTCCTCATTTCATAGACATGGTTTTATTCATAAATAAGTTCTTACAATTATGTTTTATGGCTGTGCATGGATGTATGTGCAAATGTGTGTATAAATGTTTGTGTGTGTGTGTGTGTGTGTGTGTGTATGTGTGCGTGCATGTTTGAATGTGTAGATTTTAGTTTCATGTGTATATTTTAATATGTAAACACCAATCGTTTTTAAGGGTGTACATATTTTATAATTGTTTGTTTTATTTAGTCTCTTTTACTGTTAAGCACATTGAGTTGTTGTTGTACAGGAAATGTGCTCTATAAATAAAGTCATGCATTCATTCATTCATTCACACTTCATGCATTTTAGCTCATTTGGGATTTGTGGCTTCAGTTGAGGTATTATTTCAGCCTTTCCAATGCTAATCAGCTGCTCCAGATTGTAAACCAGCTTGCTGCCATGGTTACACATCATAACAAATGCTCAAAAAAGTAAAAAAAAAAAAAATGGCAGTAAAAATCCTCTAAGCTTCACAGCACCAGAAACAGAAAAGTAAAAGGTAAAAAAAAATAGTTTTTCTTAAGATGTTAGAATAAAAATGTCCAAAAAAGGTAAAACTTACATGTAGTTAACAGAGCTACTCCAACATGCAGCTGTTCAAGACATTATTGGATGTATGTGGTATGACCATCATATCAAAAGCACAAAAAAAAGCATGATTCAGGTAGATGAGTTAGAAAAACCCAAGTCTACTCAAGGATGCTTGCCAAATTTGCCACAGTTTTACCTCAATGTACTGGGTTGTATAGGTTGTGGAGAATATAGCATGATAATCCAGCGTTAAGGACTGCAAAAAGTCATGAACAGTTTTCTTTGCACATTTCAGGACATGAACGAGGTGTCTAGTTTTGTTAAAGGATCCAGTAACGGTTGTGCTGATAACAACCTCAACTACCCCCCTTACACTCCAAGTAAGATCTTATCTTCTCTTTTTAAAGTTTTACTTTTCATATGTCTGATGATAGATGCTTTATTCTGCATAAATTCCTCAACTGAGAAGTGAAATGCATTTATGGGTAAAAAAATGGACGCTTGCTTTTATTGCTTAGCACGATCATAACTGGATACTCCTCTGATACTTATCTTCTTATTACACTCCTCTTTGGTCGCCCATGACTTCCACATTTCTCATTTGCTCATTTACATCCATTTTCTGATACAGTACCTCTGAAAAAAATCATTGTCCCTCTTTTCGTCCCTTCCTCCCTCGCTCCCTAGCTTTTATTTGCAATTTTACTTTGTATTCACTCCATGTTTTTTGCATATCTTTCTTCCATCTCCTCTCTTTCTTTTTCTTTTCTCTCTCCCAGAGATTCTGGATGAGGTGATGTACAGTAAGACCCTTTGTATGGATGCCAAGCAGTATTGGGGGAACCACTATGATGTCCACAGTCTATATGGCTACTCCATGGTGCTGGCTACTGAAAAGTGAGTGCATCCATAATCAGCGACAGAAGTAGTTTGGCCAGCTTGTTACATGGAACCCTGCTCACTGCAGTCCCCTTTGAGCAATGAGGCATTGGCAAACACAAAATGCACTGTGCAGTGTGAAAAAACCTGCACTCAAAATTTAAAATCAACTTTAGAATCAGAGGTTAAAGCACAGTGGCCTTAGGCAATGACCCTTGCAGACAAATAGTCAGCTGGATGCCATGTGCAGAAATATGTTTTAATGAGCCCAGCTCCCCGGGTGCCTGAATTCCTCATCTGGGTCTGGCACCAGAACTGTTTAATGGGCCATTATGTTCACAAACCTACAAAAGGGTTTCAACATAAGTATATGGCATAATCACTGAAGCATGGAAATTCATATGGATCATGGATAGCTGCAAAATGACAGCACACATGCCAGCGGATGACAAATAATTGGTCCTTTATGGTTAAAAAATTCCTCTTATTATATACATTATTCCCAATGTATTATGCAAACAATTACCAAGCAAGTTTTTGTGTGTTCTGTGTTGCTTTTACCCTAATGGGTATGATGATAGCTACAACGTACTATTTTGTACATTTCATTGTTCATTACAGGTGCTGGCCAGTAAATTAGAATATCATCAAAAGGTTGAAGATATTTCAGTAATTCCATTCAAAACGTGAAACTTGTACATTATATTCATGCAATGCACACAGACCAATGTATTTCCAATGTTCATTACATTTAAATTTGATATTCATAAGTGACAACTAATGAAAACTCCAAATTTGGTATCTCAAAAAATTAGAATATTCTGAAAAGGCTGAATATAGAAGACACCTGCTGCCACTCTAATCAGCTGATTTACTCAAAACACCTGCAAAGGCCTTGAAAAGGTCCCTCAGTCTTGTTTTGAAGGCACCACAATCATGGGGAAGACTTCTGACTTAACAGCTGTCCAAAAGACAATCATTGACACCTTGCACAAGGAGGGCAAGACACAAAAGGTGATTGCTAAAGAAGCTGGCTGTTCGCAGAGCTCTGTGTCCAAGCACATTAACAGACAGGCGAAGGGACGGAAAAAATGTGGTAGAAAAAAGTGTACAAGCTCTAGGGATAACCGCACCCTGCAGAGAATTGTGACGACAAACCCATTCAAAAATGTGGGGGAGATCCACAAAGAGTGGACTGCAGCTGGAGTCAGCGCTTCAAGAACCACCACGAGGAGACTCATGAAAGACATGGGATTCAGGTGTCGCATTCCGTGTGTCAAGCCACTCTTGAACAAGAAACAGCGCAAGAAGCGTCTCGCCTGGGCCAAGGACAAAAAGGACTGGACTGATGCTGAGTGGTCCAAAGTTATGTTTTCTGATGAAAGCAAGTTCTGCATTTCCTTTGGAAATCAAGGACCCAGAGTCTGGAGGAAGAGCGGAGAAGCACAGAATCCACGTTGCATGAGGTCCAGTGTAAAGTTTCCACCGTCAGTGATGGTGTGGGGTGCCATGTCATCTGCCGGTGTTGGCCCACTCTGTTTCCTGAGGTCCAGGGTCAATGCAGCCGTCTACCAGGAAGTTTTAGAGCACTTCATGGTTCCTGCTGCTGACCAACTTTATGGGGATGCAGACTTCACCTTTCAACAGGACTTGGCACCTGCACACAGTGCCAAAACCACCAGCACCTGGTTCAAGGACCATGGTATCCCTGTCCTTGATTGGCCCGCAAACTCGCCTGACCTTAACCCCATAGAAAATCTATGGGGTATTGTGAAGCGGAGGATGCAATACGCTAGACCCAACAATGCAGAGGAGCTGAAGACGACTATCAGAGCAACCTGGGCTCTCATAACACCTGAGCAGTGCCACAGACTGATCGAGTCCATGCCACGCCGCATTACTGCAGTTATTGAGGCAAAAGGAGCCCCAACTAAGTATTGAGTGCTATACATGCACATTCTTTTCATGTTCATTCTTTTCAGTTGGCCAACATTAGAGAAACAAACATTTTTTCATTGGCCTTTAGAATATTCTAATTTTCTGAGATACCAGATTTGATGTTTTCATTGGTTGTCACCTATAAATATCAAAATTAAACGTAATAAACATTGGAAATACATTGGTCTGTGTGCATTGCATGAATATAATGTACAAGTTTCACGTTTTGAATGGAATTACTGAAATATTTTCAACCTTTTGATGATATTCTAATTTACTGGCCAGCACCTGTATGTGCAGATTCACTGCAAGAACGAGTATTCCAGACTGAAACTGGGCAATTTGAGTTTAGCAAAAGTTGATTTACTAAAGTTCTGATTCGTTTTAACATAATTTACCCAAAGGCTAAATGAGTTATGTTATTCAAATTTTATAGAGAAATTTAACTTTAAGAATTTTAAGTTTCAACACTGAACACTACACTTTTTAAAAGGTAATGCAGACGATTTTTCTGAATTTCAGGAAATAACGGCCCTCTCCACGTATTGAAAAAAAATGCACACGAGAGAGAATGCCCTGCGCGCTCTGTTTACAATAGCTGTCGGCCATGTAGCACTTCTTTTAACAGTAATCTGAAAGAATTTCACCAAATAGCATGTCGAACTTAAATTTACCTGTCCAGCAGAAAACCAGCGGGGGAGCCCAGCCTTCGCTTTCAATGCACGCCATTGTTGAAGAGTCACCTAAAAAAACGTGGGTCTTATTTCTCATGTCAGAGGCCTTCCTCTACTTTTCATTGACTTCAAAGACAAATTTTCTCTTGCGACTGTCAGCCATTTTCAAAAGAACCCAGTGAGAACAGTGAGGAATGAAGGCTATCGCTCCACACATAAACAGAATGCATGTGCGCAAGAAGGGAAAATTACCCAGCAACAAGCACATACGATGAAGGCCTTGTATGAAAGCTTCACCAGAATGATGAACAGTTATGCGGACCAATGGTTCAGATGATCCACTCGGAAGAAAAAGATCCTCTGCTATACCTTTAAGGGTTAATTGGACTTACCGTATTTTCACGACCATAGGGCGCACCAAGTTATAGGGCGCAGCTTCAGTTACGGGTGTCTTTTTGGTGTTTAACACATAAAAAAGGCGCACCGGGTTATAGGGTGCGGGCACAGTAAAACTTACCGGTAAAACATCTGTGCGTGCTCGGGACTCGGAACATATCGGAACAATTATAAACAGGCGAAAGCATGTTTCACTTTACTGGTCTAGTCCTGGTTCAGACCCGGTTTAGAGCACATGTGCACTTCCTCATTGCGTGCGCTGACGGCTCGTACTCTTCTTATGCGCTGATGCGCTGTGTTGAAGTTCAAAATGTGTTTACCGGTAATTGGTGGATTTAACCTCATAAACTTTCCACATGAACAAAATCATGTGTGCGTTATTAATAGGCCTGAGATTATAGTGTGATTTGAATTCTGTTTTATTAAAAAAAGGCAGCGGGAGCAAAGATGAGTTTGGTTGTGCTTTATTTGAGTGCTATCAATTAATCATCAAATCCACCAAAGTCCTCATCTTCTGTCTCTGATAAGAACAACTGGGCTAGAGTACAATCAAACACGCCAGGTTCTCTCTCGTCACAGTCAGAGTCTGTCTCGTTGCCCTTCGTCTCCTCGTGAATGATGCCGGCTTTTGCAAGAGCCCGAACAACCATACAAGTAGACACATTAGCCCAAGCATTTACAATCCATTCACAAATTGCGGCGTAACCCGCCCGGCGTTGCCTCCCAGTTTTCATAAACGTGTGTTCGCCATCTGTCATCCACCGCTCCCACGCCGTTCGCAACCATACTTTGAACGCCCTGTTCACGCCAATATGCAGCGTTTGGAGTTCCTTTGTCAAGCCTCCCGGAATGACAGTGAGCTCCGAGTTCATTTGCTTCACCTCTTTTTTCACACCGTCCGTGAGATGAGTGCGCATGGAGTCACAGATCAACAGGGACGGTGACGCGTGGAAAAAACCACATGGTCTCTTCACATACACCTCATTTAGCCACTCTTTCATTTTGTCCTCATCTATCCAGCCCTTTTCGGTAGCCTTAACGATGACTCCAGCTTGAAATTTCTCTTTAGGCAGATTTTTCGTGTCCCGTTGTGTGTATCGCTTCCATGCTAGTCCCCTTCTTCTCAACAGTGTGATTCACCGGGATGTCAAAAGTGAGCGGCACTTCATCCATGTTGGTTATGTGGCTAGGCTTGATGTGTTTGTCGGCAATCTTCTTACTGCAGTAGGAGCGGAAGATGGACAGCTTTTCTTTGTAATCCACTGGAAGTTGCTGCGCCACCGTAGTCCTTGCCCAGATGGAAAGATGGCGGCGTTTCATAAAACGAAAGCACCAAGACGGACCTCCTTGAAACTGTTCAATGTTCATTTCTTGTGCGAGCGTTACTGCTCTCAGACGAATGGTGACAGTAGAGATGTTTCTCCCAGCTGTCCTCTGCTCGTTAACCCATTGCTCGAGACCATCTTCCAGCTCAGGCCACCTGGCTTTGTGCCCGCGGAAACACAGCTGCGTCTTCTTTATTTGTCGGAGTTCGTTTTCCAACTTCCTCCACTTGCGAGCCATGGACTCATTAATGCTGAATTCTCTCGCCGCTGCTCTATTCCCGTGTTTCTCCGCGTAGCTGATCGCTTGCAGTTTAAACTGTGCTTCTTAGGTGTGTCTCTTAGCAGATGCCATTCTCAGGGTTGTCAAAACAATGTTCAGCATACCACGCATACCTGCCCTTTTGAACTATTCGGGGTCTGTCTTCGCTCACGTCCGCACGTTCACGCCACGCCCCTTGCCGTTCTCGCCACGCCCCTTGTCTTCTACTATGTTCGCGTCTCACAACAACACAATAGGCGCACCGCACCATAGGGTGCAGCGTACATTTTGGAGAAATTTTAAGACTTTTAGGTGCACCTTATGGTTGTGAAAATATGGTAGTTTTGTTTTATGACCCGCACTTGTACAGCGCCTTTCAGAGTAAGGACTCCAAAATGCTTTACACTACAGTGTATCATTCATCCATTCACACACACATGGTGATGGGCTACGATGTAGCCACAGCTGCCCTGGGGCACACTGACAGAGGCGAGGCTGTCGAGCACAGGCGTCACCGGTCCCTCAGACCACCACCAGCAGGCACGGTGGGTTAATTGTCTTGCCCAAGGACACAACAGCAGAATTCTTTGTCCGGAACCGGGATCGAACCTGCAACCTTCCTATTACTGGACAACCCGCGCAACCTGTTGAGCTACTGATGCCCATTATGTAATGAATGTCGAATAAAGACAAAAAATGAATAAAAATCAACCCAAGATTTTGTAATACTCCATAAACCAATATGAGAGGAAATATGTTTGTTTACTGTGTCATGCATGAAGATTAATGTTTAAGACTAAGCACATCTCAAATGGAAAAGACACTCCCTGATGGCTCTGACCTCCCCTGTGCAGGATGATGAGCCAGACAACTCAAGAAAACTGCTATGGAAAAGCTTAAACAGCACAATAAAGAGCTTATGTTGTTGACGAAACATCCCACCTCCACAGATCTCAGTTTGATTGATAGTCCACTAGATGCATCAGAACAGGCTCAATGCACATAAACACCATCTAGATATATCCACCCGGTAGAAATGGGAAATACAAAATTCACCATTTTTCTGGTTCTGGACACCACAGATGATGTGTGCTGATAATCAGAGCTGCCCACATCATCGTTTCTAAGCACTGAAGTTTTCAAGATGGCATCAAATTCTAAGAATAATGCAACTTTTAAGCCAGTTTTCTAATTATTTACTACTTGGCCATTCTCCAATTGCTCAGATAGAAGATGATTCCAAACACACCACAGTAACAAATATATTGAAAGGGACATAATGTACAAAAACAAACCCCTTTTCATCCTTTTATGCTACCATTTGGATCTCTATAGCTTCTACAAACACTTGCAATATAAAAAAAATCATCCATTACTTTTCTGTCAGTTGATATTTTTAGGACTTATCAGCCTAAAACAAACCGTTTCAAAAAGTCTTTTTTTGCGACATTGCAAATGGGGAAATTAGCATAGAACCATGTCCTGTGTGCAATAGAGAGCTGTTGCTGGAAGAACAACGACCCAAATCCAAGCCCCTCTCAGAATTCAGAGCTTCTCAGCTTATAGCAGCCTGATTGGGCAGAGGATGGGTGGGTGAGGCCAGCAAAAGCTTGTTTTCTTAAATTGAGTCCAGAAATGGCTCATTCTCAAAAGTACTGGAACTGTCTAAAAAATAAAAATAAAAAACTGCTGAAAGAGGAATTTCATGCAAATAGATTCATGAACATCTTTTGCACTGACCATAGAACTAATATGTATGTTTAAATAAAAATCCATAATATTTTCATTTTAAAATGTTGAAGATAGCATTACGTGGTGTGATTTAGCAAAATCTCTTATTCAGAGAATGTGACATGAATGACTCAGCTCCTACTACATTAAACTTTATCTCAGTGAGAATAATTAATGTTTGTGTTTGCTAAGATCGACTAGCTGAAGAAGCCATCTTTACAGAGGTTGACTACAAAAGATAATCAGTTGTACATAACTCTTTAGTGGCGCGTTGCTGTGAGAATCACAAAAATCTATTGGAGATAAGTCAAATGGTTAATTGCAATGTTTCAAACAAAAATATCATCAAGTTGTGTCTCACCTACAGTCACATCAAAGTTTAAAGACATACAAAGCACCGTTTTCAAAGGATAATATCATTTTCTTGAGCCAGTGCTCAAAGGACTGTTTACAGAGTTATTGAAAACCCTCTCAGCCCCCTCCACCCCGCATATGCAGGATACCACATTTGCAACTTCAGCCTCTTTGGCCCACTGCCCTGAAATCTCACAAAGTCAGGCTTTACAGCAACACGTGTTCACACCTCAGAACAGACGAGCTATATCTAGTTAGCATTTATCATAACGTGTTTATCATAATGGAATCTCAGAAGAAACAAAGAACGAATGGGTCTTGGGTCTTTCAAAAGGACAAGGACCCAAAACAGACAGCTAAAAGCACTCAATAATGGCTGGGGGGGGGGGGGGGGGGGGGGGGGATGGACTATTCTAAAGTGGCCTCCTATGACCCCTGACCCTCAATATTGTGCATCTTCGGAAGGAGCCTAAACATGCAGTCTGGAAAAGCCGCCCTTCAAACCTGAGACAACCGAAGCAGTTTATTCATGACAAGTGGGTCAAAATACCTGCTGAGAGGTGCAGAAGTCTCGACAATTACAAAAAATCTTTAATGCAGTGATTGCCTCAAAACGTTGTGCAACAAAATATTAAGTTTGAGATACCATCAATATTGTCCAGGCCTGTAGCTATGCAGATCAACTGGCTTTTTAACTCTAGCTCACACGCACACACAGAAATGACCTGGCTCACGGGAGAGCAACATAAAAAAGGACGTTTGGACCCTTGGTGAAGGTTTTAAGAGTATTTTATTAAAATTGGCTCTCTAAGGCCTCCCAAAAATATGACACAGGGATGGCCTCTCCAGAGGTTATCTCTGCAACCAACCTGATCTTGCTGAAGTTGCTCCAAGCAGGCTTTTATGCTGCATCCACAGGTGCAGCCGCTCAGAGCAATTACAGGTTCAACACAGCCAGACCAATGCTGAGGCAGAGGGGCGTTGGCAGGAACATCTGAAGCAGCCAATCAGCCGGTCGCACTGGCACAGCAGAGTTTGTCTCCCAGTTGGATGGGTGCTTTGTTTCTCCCATTGACACACACACACACACACACACACACACACACACACACACACACACACACACACACACACACACACACACACACACACTTCTAAATGACAATTTAAGACCAGGGGATAAAACTTGTTTAGAAAGGATTTGCTGAATCACTTCCTACATGTTGAAGCCAGCTCATAATTCATTTCTCTCTCTCTGTCGTTAACTCTTGCACCCATTTTTTCTCTCTTTACTCTTAATTGAAAAACAATAATGGCTGAAGATACATGTTGTAAATATCAGTCAGACTGTATAATTCCACAGAGATCACTGCATCTTCTACTCCTAAGCTAAACAAAAGCAAGAAAGGAAAGAAAAGGACATGTCCAAATGTTGTATGTGTTCATGTAGTGATGTGTCTATCTCAGTGTCCCTTTTGTCTTTAAAACTTTATGATCTCTATGGTCGCCTCTACGTTCCAGAGCTCTGCAGCGTGTGTTTGGATCAAACCGGACCCTGATGCTGACACGCTCCTCGTTTCCAGGTGTGGGAAAATATTCAGGACACTGGTTGGGGGACAATGCTGCAAACTGGAATGACATAAAATGGGCCATCGATGGCATGCTAGAGTTTGGCCTTTTTGGGATTCCCTATGTGAGTATCAAAATAGTTTAGTTCTGACTAAAGTCCTAATGCTTTTAAAAGAAAAGGAGAAAAAAAAGAGATGGAACAAAACACACATAAAGTTGCCCTGACTGCATTTTAAAAAATCCTTAGAAATTAAGAGCTTCTTCATTTGCATAATAACCTTTAAGTACATAAAGTTAAAATTGTGTAAATGTTTGTTTTATACTGAGCTGGCTGGCTTTGTTTAAAATATACTTTTGTAAAAATTAACATAACTGATTTTAATATAAAAATACAGCTTTCCAATTATACAGTAAGAGAGAGCAGAGCACATCTCAGCTGAAGCTAAGCTTTAGTATTAGCTACGCCCAAACATGGTGAAACACGTTCAGGCTTATGTTATTTTGTGGAGATAAAACATCAACATTGCATATTTTACCCAAGAAAGAAGAGCAAATAAAGGCAACAGAAGAGTCATTTTACCATTAACCAATCAGAGGCGACATGTTTGCATTTCATAAATATTGATGAGTATGACTCATCCTGTCATTGATTAACTTCCAATTCGTGAAACAGGAGTGTAAGAGCTTTTCCTTTCACTGAAAATTACTCATTTAGACTAGAGACCGCAGTACTTTGACTGAAATAATGAGTGAATGACTCCTTTAATTCCCTGAAAGTTTAATTCACATGTGGTTTTTTTTTTGCTCTTTTCTGAGAAGTCATTGTAACTAGCTGCCTTCTTTTTGTCTTTTTGCAGACAGTTTAGTAGCTTAATGTGACTTGTCTTCTGACATTCATTTAGGGAAATGCAAAACTGTATGTTTTTCTTTCATTGCACAGAGTGCAAACAACAGTATGGAAACAACAGGAAGTCAGCTGCACACACACACACACACACACACACACACACACCACACACACACACACACACACACACACACACACACACACACACACTCCTCCAGCTGTGCACACCAGGGGGGTCCTACAGATGCCAACTACTCCTGGTGTGATTCTGTCAAGCAGATTTTAGTTTCCTCAGAACTCGCACAAACACACATGCACACACATACACACACATGCACACGCCACAAACAAAGCAGAGGAAGAAATGAGATTTGGATTGATTCCTGTTCAATGAAGCTGCAGTAAAATGTGACCAGTTGTAAACAATGGCAGGCAGACACTTTCTGTCAGCTGGCCCTCAACTGGAATTTCTCTCTGTAATCAATGTAACTAAAGACGGTTGCTCTCATCCAACATCTGCTACTAAATCTCAAATGAATTGAATGCATTAAAAAAAGGCAAGTCTTGGCCAGTCATCAAATTGGTGTCACTTTAGTTTCAATGCACCAGGAGAACTATCAAATTCAGATTAAGGAATTTTCTCATCAAAAGGTATTCAGAGTGACATTTACAACCTAGAGATCATTCAATATAATCTCTCAAACTGGAAATCCACACCATTATTTTGCTTTTAAAACTCTGAGTTGGTGAAATGGCAATCCAGCTCTTTTTCTGCTAAAACAACATTAAAGAGATTTGTGGACATACGTCAAAAATTCTGGCTAATTATCGTCCATTGGGGTTCTCGTGTGTGTCTCAGATAGGTGCTGACATCTGCGGGTTCTTTGACGACTCAACTGAGGAGCTGTGCCGACGCTGGATGCAGGTGGGCGCCTTCTATCCCTTCAGCCGAAACCACAACGCCCAGGGCTACAAGGTACTGTAAAGGCATTTCTTCCCACAGTTCTTATATGAGACTGTCACTTTTAGATTTATGTATCACAGAGTCCCTGTTTGGACTCAAGCGCTGCAGGTACACCCTTTATTTCATAACACTGTAAAGGTGCTGTAAACTCCAAGCGGTTACAAATATAAACTACTTTTCTTTGTCCATAGAGGTTGTCATCTCACCAACACTGGCGTAATTGCTTTCTAAAATGGGAGCAGTGGGAGCTCTGTGTAGCAATTAAAACATTAATTATGACCAATAAGATGTGATGATTCCATATAAATATGAAATGTCAATCTGATTGAGCTTTGAATGTTTCATCAGAAGATTCTAGGGTTCTTTGCTTCTTTAGGGATCATAAACACACTTCGTATTAATTCAGACAGAGTCAGTATATAGTTTATAAAATGAATTTAATTATTTTTCCTAAACTAATAATTTATACATGACAAGATATAAATGATGAGATGTGATGTGGTGGATGGGAGGTGTTGTGATGGAAGCTAGATGTTGTAGCAACCGTTCTTTGTATCTGAGAGAAATTGTGAAATCTGGGCTGTAAAAGAATTTGTTCTTTTGGTGCTAAACTAGAGAGTTGTTTATTTAAAACAGCATCAGACGCAATCTGTCGTGCCAAGTGTACGCACCCTTGGTGTGGAGGTTCTCGTTCAATCTGGGGGTCTGGCGGGTCACTGCTGGTGGAGTGAACCTCTGATATCAGGAACCCGTAGACAGTTCCGATAGGACCCGTCCAGTCTGAGATTCCTCGAGGTGAATGCCGAAAGCTGGAATGCTTATTTGCATCTAAGTTAGATGTTTGCTTGGCTCTTAGAAGAGTCGGTTGTCTGGTATCAGCCACAGCGATGCAGAGTCTTTGACAGGAGGTCAAAGGAGAAGATGGTTTCAAAAATGCTTCTTTCCCGAAATGGCCGGTTCGAGGGTCAGCGAGAAACTGACTTAATTGGGAAATGTCTGGTTTTATTAAACTACTTTGTTATGCTTTCTGGCCAAGTTTGGCCGATCAGAATTTGACACATTTCTGAGTATTTACCAACGTCCCTCAGAAAGTCACGTCCTCCTCAGATACAAAGATGTTTTAAACACTGTGAATGAGAATGATCAAAACTCTTATGTGAGGTGAATATTAACCTTAGTATGTATCTTATTGTAATGTGTATGAGTGTAAACAATGATTAACTTGTTAAATCAAACACATACTGATTTTTGATATAAATGGGTCATTGTAAGAACAATATTCATTTCACATTCATTAACTTAAGCACATATTATTTAAACTTTTGATTTAAACATCTTGTTCATTCATCACATATGATTATTTAACTTATAACTATACAATCATGGAGTCTTCACTTATTCAGAGTGAAGAATGTTGACGTCTGGCGTTCACACAGTGAGTGCAAGAACCTTGGGAGAGAATGCTTATTTGAATGTTTTGTCTTCATGGAATGTAAACATGCACTGAGCAGAACCTTCTGGATTTAGAAGGCCACATAGAAAGTGGATTTATTTCTGTAGATGAAAGGTTATGATGTTGGTCAATATATAGGTGAAAATAGACCCTTGTGGTACGTTACACCTGATTTTAGGTTTAAAACCATGAAAGTGAGCTGTTGAAAATCATGGCTGCTTTGGGGGGAGTTGAGTGTCTGAACCAGAATTAGAAAGTAACACCGTGCCAACATTTAAAGATTTCTACTCTTAAGTGAAATATAATGCTGAAATATGTCAGATTAGCATAATGTGATGTGCCATATGTTGCACACACTGCCAGCTTGTAAAATATCAAGATGGTTTCAGCTGAGATGGCCCCCACAGACAACAGATGGACGGGGGGAAGGGATCTCTCTACCTGTACCGCCTCAGCTCCAGCTGTGAGCTTGGCTGTTAGCAACGGTCAGAAATGAATCCGCTCTTCTTTTTTTTACATGAAAGATGGGAGCTAGCTTCAATCTGACAGTTGTAAAAAAAAAGAAGCATTTCTTAAATAATAAAAAGGATAAATGATGAGATATTTTTCTCATGCACTGCTTGATGTTTGGGTTTCATTTGCTCAGTGATAGTTGATATTTATCAGTTGTTAATTACAGAATATTTGGATCAAACCTCCAGAGTTAAACTACAGCAATTAGAACACATCCTCTAGTGAGGTTTGCATGCACTAATGTGTACATGATTGTAAACTCCTATTGCTGAACTGATTTGGATGATCCAACTCAATAATAGGAGCAGAGATTTCTGTATTCGTGTTTGAAGGGTGTCATATGTGCCGGGCAAGTTAAGGTTGACGTGAGGATCCAAGTTCAGGGGAAGAAGGCAGTTGGGTAGGCAGGCAGGCTGGCGGGAAGGAAATGTTTTACAAGGTACTTTATTAGGATGCACATGGGACATTGAGACAATGAATGGACGAGGAACACAGAACTGGGAGAGTTTAAATACAAGAGGAGCTGGGATCTAAAGTGACTGGGAGACGAGAGGCAGGTGGGAGCAATTAGGAAAGACACAGGACTGAACAGAGTGAAGAGACAGGACAGATTGTCACAAAATGCTGATACCAAGTAATAGTTGATAAAGAATTATATCAATCCTTTATATTTCTATTCAGTAATGGTAATTACAAAAAAGAAGAATGTACTGCTGGAAGCAAAAGCTTGGTTTTTGTTGGGTACCAATGGTTTTTACTATTTTTAACCTTTTTTTGTTTTGTTTTGTTTTCATTTTGACTGTTTCCAAGACAACCTTTGGAAAAAAAGATTTTGGTTTGGTTTTGCAACAGTGTTAAATGCATAAAATAAAAAATGGATATTTTATCAATAATTTTTTTCCTGAGCTTTTCATAAAGTGTAAAATCTCTGTCCCTGACCTGCAAGTTTAAACACAAAATAGACAAATAAATAAACAAATAATTAAAAATCTATTCAAATGTACTTTTTTAAACAAATCCTTTGGATTTAGACAAATTGCTTTTTTATTTCACCAGACAAACCTGCCCTCGGGAAAAGCTAACACGATTTAAACATTTTAAAATCGTTTTCTACACAAAAGCATATTGCTTGCTCTTTTTTCCCCTCATTGGCAGGATAAATTAGAATTATGTGTCTTATAGTGAAGCTACAATCATGTTTCGGTTTATTGTTAACAAGCTCAAATTTAAATGCCACATGTCACATCAGTGGCTTAATGTCAAGGAGAGACTCGGGGAAAAAGAGCCTGCTGAGTCTGAATCGGTGTTTATACTGAAGCTGAGCTATTTTGGTAGCTGACACAAATAACTTGGGAGAAAAGTCGCTCTCAAGCACCGAGTGTTGTGAAAACTGATACTCAAACCAGATTCTTCAAGTGACATTTCCATGCTCATCATAGCTGCAGAAAATAGCAGGGTTGAGGCGAGGAAATGGGGGGTTTGGAAAACGGTTGGGTGTAAGATGTGTGTTTTTTGGTGAGTGTGTGTTAGGGAGGGAAAGGCTGGGTTAGCTTGCTGGAGGACAGGGACGAGATGATCGTGAATTTGATGTACAATTTCCACTAAACAAGACAGCTAATGTGTGACCTTTGCTTTGCCCTAATCATTGCACTCATCAAGTGCCCACACTAACCAAGCCAAACACACACACACACACACACACACACACACACACACACACACACACACACACACACACACACACACACACACACACACACACACACTCACAAGCTCTCATCAGACTCACAGAGGTGCCGGGGGCATGAATGATTGGCTAAATGAGAGAAGTCAGCCAGTTAGCAGCTAATCACCCTCTTACTCGCTTGTATAATGGAAACCAAATCATACCTCTGTTTCTTTCTCTTTCTTTGTCAAATCTGCTTTTAGATTAGTCCAATGCAAAGGTTATTCTTTTATTCTATTCACTATGGATGAGGTTAACATCCACTAATTCTGCAAAAATATATCTATGCCCATACAAAAAAGGTTTCTCGCTTCTTATTCCAGTTCCCAATCGTAATCAAGCAACTCTTAATCTTGTTTGAATCTATTTGTTTCCCATTAGTTCCCCAGACAAAACAAAGACAAATCTTTGTTTTCTTTTATCATAACCTCCCATTCATCAACCCTAAACCTTTATTCTGTTCTTTTTTTATTTTTATTTATTTTAGGCTCAGGACCCAGCTTCCTATGGCAGTGACTCAGCACTGGTGAGGAGCTCCATACACTATCTTAGGATACGCTACACTCTCCTGCCTTACCTCTACACACTCTTCTACAAAGCCCACACCACTGGGGAGACTGTTGTACGTCCTGTCCTGCATGAGTAAGTCATTTCTTATGTTGTGGTAAATCCTCACGGTATCACTTCAAACTGGTATTTCTGGAGTTTTATTTCAACTTGAATCTTTGCATTAGTCATGACTGAACTTAGCATGCCCTTGGCATTTAAATTCAGCCCAATCATACAGTATTATCTTAAAAATACTCTGTATATATTACTCTTTTTATTCCCATATAAACGAATCTGCCACAGAAAACAAATGGGATGGTAACTTAAATAAGGTGTAGGTACTGGATCTGCTTGGGCCGCGAGTTCGGCTCGAGGTATTGCGCCTGCCGATGATGTTACACTAGATTGATTGATTGGCTGAATGTAGGACGTACATTAGCACATTAACAATTGATTGGTTCAGATAAATTTTCTTTGATAATGCGCAGGTTTTTTCTAGGCCTTTAAAGCCAATGATTCTGAAGAGCATTGATGAAGTGAAGAGTGATGTTAGATGATGAGTAGGAGTAGACTGATGTGGCCATGTCCTTATTGCTCTTAACTTATTGGTTTTCAACTAATCTCTTACAGTTGAATTTGCAACATTAAACAACGATAAAGTTCCCAAGAGCCAGCTTACTACACTAGTGGCTTCCTATCAGAACACCAATAAATGAATGAAACGAGGCGTGATCGTAAACTCATCATTTTTTAACTTCCTAGATGGTAATTGTTTCTTTAAAATTCACCAGCAAAGATGTTATTTCTTCATCCTCCTGCTGCATGGAAATTGTTTAAATCAACTGTAGCAAACATAGCACTCACATAGCCTCACTTGCACATTTTGAAATTATTGCTGCAATAAATATGAGCTTCTGGGAAAATTACTATAAAGCCAAACTCATAATTTTCACCACGGGTGTGCTTTAAGAGCTGCTAAAATGTAAATTATGCATAAACAGAAAAAAGAAAGAATATGGGTGAAGAGGGTATAATGACAGTACTGTTAACAGGGCATTTATTCTTGGATTGAAATCTTAAATTATAGTAGCTGCAGTTATTTCAATGAAAGGCGTTAAAGGTATCACCATGAATTGTTCAATTTTTCTTTGTGCTTAAAAGGGAAAGGTCAGAGAATGTTTTTTTTTTCATTAGAGGGACAAGCGAACCTTCACTTGCACAATGATTCTGATTATTTTTAAATCAGAATCCAGTTAGTGAGATAAAACACAAATGTTTGGTTTAACCTCTTAACTTAGGCAAAGCTAAGAGCAAATATTATTAATGAAACATTTTAAGGCTTTTACTCACAGAAATCAGAATGAGCCAATCACTGCAAAGGATTTTACAAATAGCTGATGTAAACGAATAAAGAGAGGCACAGTTTGTCATCTCTTTAAACTCATGTTTGATGCGTCACATTAGCGTGAGTTATCAAAAGTATTGACCTGTTTTCTTTTTTTTCGACCATTTGCTTATGAAATATGACAGCAAAGGCTTTCAGGTAGCTCTAAAGGAATCTGAGAAGCGATGAAAACTCTGCTGAGAGAGCTAATCTCCCAGCTTAAACTGATTGGTCTCTGCTTATTAAAGAGGGACTGCACACGATCAGAAAATGTAACTCCACCCCTAGTCAAGATTTGAAAAATGCCATGAAAGTGGGCGTTGCCAGGAGGCACAGAGTGACATGGCCAAGTGTGGGAAATCTCCATCCTGGGAGGGAGGGGGAGTGGGAGGAGACTATACCGATGGCGTGAAATTGTACCAAATCAAATCAATCAAAGCTTTATTTATAAAGCGCCTTCCGCAACCCAGTCAGGAAGCCCAAGGTGCTGAACATGGAACAGTACAAAGTTAAATAAAGTGAATAAATCAGAAAATAAAAGCAATTCAAATTACAGATTACAAATTACAAAAAAGGTGAAACATTCTAGTAGAAGACAAATGTGTAAAACAAGGGAAAAAGTGAACTAAATAAAAGTCAACATAAAAGAGGGCCAAATTCAAACATGTTCAGGAAACGCCAAGCGGAGGAGGTGGGTTTTTAGGCGACTCTTGAAGACTGGCAGAGATGGGGACAGCCTAACTGACGGTGGCAACTGGTTCCATAGTGATGGTGCTAGGACTGAGAAAGCCCGGTCCCCACGAGTACGATACCTAGACCGAGGGACAACGAGCAGGCCTTGGTCAGAGGAGCGCAGAGCGCGTGATGGGGAATGTCTGTTCAGGAGCGTGGCCAGATAGGGGGGAGCACCACCCTGGAAGAAATTAAAAACAAAGACGAGGAGTCTGAAGTGTGAACGATAGCAAACCGGAAGCCAGTGCAGGGAGGTCAGAACCGGACTGATGTGGTCCCGTTTCCTGGTCCCAGTCAGGAACCTGGCTGCGCTGTTCTGCACAACTTGAAGGCGACATAGTGATGACTGACACAACCCTGCTTATAGAGAGCTGCAGTAATCAAGCCTAGAAATTACAAAAGCATGGAGTACCCGCTCCAGGTGGGCTCTTGACAGCATATGCTTGATTTTTGCAAGGCGTCTCAGGTGAAAGAAACTGGACCAGATCACAGAGTTCATGTGAGCATCAAATGTAAGTCCAGCATCAATTTTCACCCCCAAACTGGTCACAACTGATTTTGATTATGGAGAAAGAGGCCCAGGATCAACATAACGATCCACATTCCTGCTGTCGGGGTGAAAAACAATGAGCTCTGTCTTTCCCTCATTCAGATGCAGAACGTTGGCCATTAGCCAAGACTTCACCTCGTTTACACAGGACACAAAGGACTGGATGGAGTGACCTTTCTCCTGACACAATGGAGAGTAAATCTGGCAATCGTCAGCATAGAGATGGAATGGTAGGCCATGTTTACGAAAGATTGACCCCGGAGGTAACAGATAAATGGCAAACAAAAGAGGACCAAGGATCGATCCCTGCGGGACCCCCCAGCGGAGCCCCTCCCAAGAAGAAGAATTGTACCAGCCCCAGTCAATCACAAGTTTAAAATGCAGTAGCCACTATTCTGCCACAGGGGCAGCACTAAGATGTTAGATTCCAGATTTAATCAATCCAATCCAATCCAATCCAATTTTATTTATAAAGCACATTCACAAGGCATTACAACCCAACAAGGCGCTGTACACTAAAAATGTTGGTTAATTAAACAGGCGTTATATAAACATGTCGAACACAGATAAAAGATAAAAAGGAAGTACAACAAAATTCCCAAAAATAACAGCTAAAAAATCATTAAGACACAGGGTGAAGTAAAAATAGGAAAAAACATTTTACAAAGAACCTCAATAGTACAGAAGTCGATAATTGTGGGGTCAGTTTATAAACAGTGCAGACATCAGTGAGGTTCATATTTATGTTGTATAAGCTAGGTTGAAGTAGTGAGTTTTCAGGCGTGATTTAAAAATGCTAGCTGTTGGTGCTAGCCTCACTAGCAGTGGTAATGCGTTCCACAGCTTCGGTGCACAGACAGAGAAAGCCCTTTCTCCACGGCTTTTTAAACGTGCATTCGGAACAGCTAGGAGGAGCTTATCTTCAGACCTGAGAGCACGCGGCGGGTTGTAGTAATGGACAAGTTCACACAGATATGGAGGAGCTTGATGGTTCAAGGATTTGTAAGTGAGAAGCATAATTTTGAAGTTTATCCTGAACTGCACGGGCAACCAGTGGAGAGATTTCAGAATTGGAGAAATGTGTTGTCTTCTGTCAGCTCCAGTCAGCAACCTAGCTGCTGAATTCTGGACCAGCTGAAGTCTAGAAAGAGCTGCTTTACTGATGCCGTATAAGCAGGAGTTAGAGTAATCCAGCCTTGAGGTGATAAAAGTGTGGACCACCGATTTCAGAAGACGTACACTCAGGATGTGCTTTAGTTTTGAGATGCGTCTTAGTTGGTAAAAACATGATATAACTGTGTTATTGACCTGGGCATCCATCTTTAGAGCCTGGTCCATTTTTACTCCAAGGTTGGAGATTACAGAGGATACATTAGGTGAGAGATAGTTGAGTCAGGTTGTTGAGTTGCCGTGGTACTGTTAGGACTGAAAACGATTAAGTCAGTTTTGGAGTCATTAAGATGGAGGAAGTTATCAGCTAGCCATTGCTTGACCTCAAGGATACAATCAGACAGAACTTTCGTTTACACAAGTTTACACAAACATGTCAAAAATGCACAGAAACAGAAAGATTGTTTTTGTAAAGACCCAATTATACAGTTAATTAGCCAAAAAAAGTAATTTTGGGGTTTAAATATCAGCAAGGAATTTATTTGAATTTCTAAAACCAGCAGCATGATGTGTTGCACTATTTGAGCGAGTGCATCAGGCTTGTGGCAGTTTTAAACAACATGGAGCCTTCATTTAAATCGGGGTTATTCAATTCCGGTCCCAGAAGTCCAGCACATTTTAGTGGTTTCTCTGATTCAACACACTTAGTTTACATATGCAACAGCTCATCAGGCTCTGCAGAAGCCGATCACCTGCTTATTGAAATCAGGTGTGTTGAAACAGAGTTAAAATTAAAACGTGCTGGATACTGGACCTCCAGGTCCATAATTGAATACCCCTGATTTAAATGGACAAAAGGGACACCTGGTTTAGCAACAGGTAATTGTAATGGAAGACTAACCACATTGGAACTGATCTTTATGGGACAACTGATGTGAAACTTGCAAGTTGTCTAAAGTTAAGTTAAGTTAAGTTAAGTTGTCTAAAGTTGACGATTACTTAGAAAATTTTTTTTTCAAAGGAATGATTAAAGTCCCATTAGTTCTCCCACACACTGGTGTGTTGTGAATTTTAATCCCCTGTGGGAGTGGTGAACTACAGACAGCTGTGCTTGGGAAATATTTGGTTCAGGAGCCTGAAAGCTAAAAGATCTGCCTTCCATCCTATTTTTAGATATTCTAGGAGCCACCAGTAAACCTGCACTCTGGGAGCAAAATCACTTCACTAATGTATGATGGCGCTTGAATATTAAGAGCTTTATATGTGAGAAGGATGATCTTAAAATCTGTTCTGAATTTAACAGGCAGCCAATGTAGGGAAGCTAAGACAGGAGAGATCTCTTCTTTCCATTCTCATCAGAACTCTAGCCGCAGCTACATTCTGTGGACTTCCTGATAATGATGAATTACAGTAATCCAGTCTTGAAGTAATAAATGAAGGAATGAGTTTTTCAGCATTACTGCTTGAAAGGATGCTTCTAATCTTAGCAATATTTCATAGGTGCAAGAATGAAATCCTACAAACCTTTTTAACATGGGATTTGAATGACATGTCCTGGTCCAAGGTAACACCAAGGTTCTTTATATGTTCTCTGAGGCTAATTTAAGGCTGTTCAGATCAGGTGATTGACTAAGCAGTTTCCTTTTGATTAAAACCAATTGAGTCTAAGATATTGTCATGTTGAGAAGTGGAGGAGTAGGGCCCGATGTCCAGACACCCAGAATGACACGGAGCAGGAGAGGATGTAAAATAAAACATCTATTATTAAGATGACAAGTCCAACGAAAAACAAAGTGTGGTACGAAGCCAAAAATACCAAATAGGGCAGAGCCAAAGAAAACCTAGTAGGGCATAAGCCAAAAAACCTAGAGACCTAAAGGGGTGAACAAAACAACACTGACACGAAACAACAAACCAACAACCACATAGAGACGCAGACAGGGTTAAATACACTGGGACAGGATGAGTGGGAGATGAGCTGCAGGTGCGTGGGGAAAGAAACCAAGTGAATTCAATTAACTAATCAGGGAGAGGAAAGTGAGCTGAGGAGGGGAAAATAACATGACCTAAGAATAAAAACAAAACCTAAAGACAAGAAGAGCACGATAAATGACTAATGATCTAAGGAGGAAGAAGAACTAAAAAAACGGTGGGGAAAGAAACATACTAAAAGAGACTAATTAAATGAAAAGCTGAACCTATAGAAAACAGCAGAGGGGTGACTAGGGGAGACCAGCGGGAACACAGGACCTGGGGGGGATACGTGGGGGGGAGAACCTGGAGGGGCTGCAGACAAGGGGGCACATGAGGAACACAAGGAGACACATAAGGGGATCCTAGAGGGGGATGGAGAACACAAGGAGACACATGAGGGAGACGCAGACCATGACAGATATTACTAAAGGCTGAATTGAGGCCATCACTTTCAATGTCACCATCAATGTTAAAACCCCCCATTACAATGACCTCATCAGTATGTAGCACCAAATCAGATAAATAAATAACTCACTGGTCTGATCCAAAAACTGAGAGTTACTGGGGACAATACAAAACTACAACCAAGAGTAGATTAAGGTTTGCAATCTGGATCAGGAAAACTAATTTAAACTAACACAAACTACATTTAAAGCTCCAAATTTCCTCTATCCGATTAAAATCTTGGTCGATCAGAAATCCCAAATCTCTGTTTATCTGGACACTAAATGTAATGATCCAATCATGCAATGTGTATACATACATGAAGCATTCAGTCAGATTAAACAGACTGAGCATGCGCAGAGTTGTCTTTCCTGGTAAAAAAAAATGTAAACAAATATCATCTTGTCCGCACGTCTTTCCCTCACATTTTATTTTCGTAGTCTCTAGATTTGTATGTTAACTAAGGGTTTTTCCCTCGTTATGAACCTTCTTTGCATTTTTACTTGTATACTTTTGTTTTTACTGATTACTTTAACTAAGCTACAGGCTCAGTAGTAAGTAATGCTACTGCTCCTCTGCCACAGGAGAAAGCAGGATAACGTACTATAATGATCACCTGCTCACACCATCCTCCTGCTCCTAAGACTTGTCCAATATGTCTGCAAAGACATAAAGACATCACACTGAAGTTGTACTCATGCGCAGTGAGCATTATTTTATTCCCCAATCTGAGTGGATGTGTACGTGGACATCAATCGGAATGATGATCTGACCAAACAACCACTCTCAATCGGAATGGAATTTCATTCCGAACGGACCGTATCAGATCAGAATATTCCGACTGACATGTTTACATGAGGGTGGGTCTGATAGGTCATTCATACCAATTACTTGTGCCCATGTAAACGTAGCTATAGTCTTCTTCTTGCAGTCAGGATTTTATGAGAGAGAGCAGGGAAATCTTCATCCATCCATCAATTTTTGGCAGCTTATCCAGGTCAATTCCCAGACTTCCCTCTTCCCAGTAACTTGGGCCAGCTCCTCCAGGGGAATCCTAAGGCTATCCCTGGCCAGCCAAGGGACTAATGGGCCATTCCCATCTGTACCGGGTCGGCCCGGGCCGGGTAGCCCCTGTCGGCCCCAGCCTGGCCCGGTTGATTCCACACATCCTTGTCTTAAGCCCATGTGGGCTGATTCTACCCACCAATCAGAGGCTTGCTCTAATGGAAGGTGTGAATTTGCTGTCAGCAGTGGGTGTGTTGGCCCTGGTCGGCCTGAAGCAGACCCCCTCGAGAAGAGGGCTGAGAATGAGCCTTGGTCGGCCCGGAAAAATACCAGGCCACCCAGATATGTAAACAACCTATGCTACCCGGCCCGGGCCGACCCTGTACAGATGGGAATGGCCCAATAGTCTCTCCAGCATGCTATGGGTCATTCTTAAGGTTTTCTCTCACAAGACCCACATCACTGCAGACGCAGCACCAATCCGCCTGTCGATTTTGCGCCCCATCTTTCCCTTACTCGTGAACAAGACCTGAGATACTTAAACTCCTCCCCTTGGGGCAGGACCTCATCCCTGACCCAGATAAGACATTGTACTGTTTAACGACTCAAGACTCGGATTTAGAGGAGCTGATTCTCTTCCAAGCTTCTTCGGACTCGGCTGTGAGCTGCTCCAGTGAGAACCGAAGATCGCGTTCTTATGAAGCCAATAGGACCACATCATCAGCAAAAAGAAGAAACTCAATCCTTAGGCCACTAAAACTATCCTATCAACACCTTGGCTGCACCTAGAAATCCTGTCCATGAAAGTTATGAACAGAATCAGTGACAAAGGGCTGCCTTGGCAGAGTCCAACTCTCACCAGAAACTAGCCTGACTTACTGCCAGAAATGTGGACGAAGCTCTGACACCGGTTATATAGAAACCTATCAGCCTGTATGAGAAGGCCTGGTATCCCATACTCCTGAAATACCCCCTAATGTTGTCAAACGCCTTCTCCAAATCGCCACCACTTGAGCCGTACTTTGCTTAGTCTGCCAGTACCCATCAGCTGCCTCTGGATTCCCACAGGCCGAAAAGACCCGATAGAACTTTTTCTTCTGCTGGACGATATCCCTAACCGTTGGTGTACACCAGTGGGTTTGGGGATTGCCACCACGACAGGAACCAATAACCCTGCGGTCGCAGCTCTAGTTGGCCGCCACAACAATGGAAGCATGGAATATGGCCCACTTGAACACAATGTCCACAACAAAAGTCTATCAACAAAACAACGCTCAAATTCAAGTCAGGGGTGGGGGTCCATTTGTGTCCCCTGCACTTTTTACCATCTAAAAACAATATTATGTTATATTAAATAGACACTGGTTGAGCACTAGGAACAAGTGGAAAATAACCACTTGTGTTGAAGCCTGTTTTCCATTAGAACTGTCCATAAACTCTATTGGCAGTGTTGATACTTGCTAAAGTGTGATTGGCCATTCCTGCCTCCTGTGTATTTGACAGTTTTGCATTCCTGACACTGCATAAAAGAGCCTCTAGGCTGTAGTTTTACACACATTTTTGTATACTTACTGTAAAGAACCCATGTGTCCATGCATGAAAGTCATCAAACCAGAATGAACAAGAGTTGATTTTTCAAATAATGGTTCAAAATACCTTCAACCAATATCCAGACTCTTATTGGAAGTTATAGAAAGGGTTTAGAGGCTGTTATTTCTGCAAAAGCAGGATTTATGAAATATTGAGTTAATTTATTTTTTGTGGTGCCCAAATTTATGCACCTGCCTTATTTAATTCAAACAATTATTGCATACTTTCTGTAAATCCATCAAACTTCACCTTGCGATTTGTATCTTGAGTGTCACTATACAAAAATGGCTTCTTCTTCTTTGAAGGTTCTACTCTGATAACGTCACCTGGGACGTGGACCGCCAATTTCTCTGGGGAAAACATCTACTCATCTCACCTGTTTTGGATTCGGTGAGAAAAACAATAATAATGATTTTGTAAACATAACACCCACTGATAAAGACAAAAATATTGTGATGACACAGTTTGAATAGTGTTTTGTCTTTTAGGCATAGAGCATGTAAAACACTGTACATTTAAAAGAAAATGTAGTTTTTGCACAAAGAGGGGAGTATCTTGCTGTTGAGATGATCGACTAATCATACACTCACATGCCATGACCTCCGCTGGGAAGACATGACATGGGGTTTCTTTGTTGCCCTCCCCTTCTCTCATCTCTCGTTTTTCTCTCTTTCAAACCCTCCCTCTTTTCTCTCAGCTCTAATGAGAGCGCTGACCTCATTACTAGCAGATTAGAAGTCTAGATGGAAGTGAGTGTGTGATTGTGTCTGTTTCTGCTGGTTCTAGTGTGTTTGAGTGCATTTATAAGAATCTGTAACTCCTTGTGTATCTGTAGGTACTTATATATGTTTATATGCATGTGTAGTGATTGCGGTTATGTCAAAGCCACATGAATAATAAGCAATTCACTCTCTTGCAAATTACAAACCAGAGAAAAGGGAATTGGATTCATCATGGAGCCAGAAGGGAAATACAAAACTTTAATCAGTGTGATTGTGGAAAAGTTTTTAGCACACAAAAGTGTAGGGTTTAACTCTGCAGTGCTGTAGTGTTTGAGATGAAATAAAAGTAGTGAGAAGGAAGAGCCACAGGGTGACTTAATAGGATGTTATTTTGAGTGAACACGATTTGTGAATGAAGACAAATGCACCTTTTTGGGATTTGTTCACAGCTAAAGGCACGTTTCTGTTGGAGCTGTGTGGCTAAGAGAGGAAGATAGGAAAAAATAAAGCTATTATCAGTTAGAATGGGTGAGTGTGGTATCAATTATGATCAACCACTCATTTTCTTTTTCGTAACTAATAATCTTTTTCCATCATTGTGTTGCGATAATTGAATACTGAGAAATATTCGTCCTAAATGTGCATTTCCAAAGAAGAAATTAATGACTGCTTGTGATGACGGGGTTGTGATGACTGCTTTTCGAACAGATTAACCTAACTTTTTCAGGAGATGGATTAAACATTTTGCTTAGCATGTTGTCCTTGTGTAAGGGTGGCCTAGTTTGAATTAGAAAGAACAGCATGAATAGGAGGTAGCATGACCCTACAATAAAACTCTATTGTGTAACAGGTCCTGAGTGCTCAGGCTTCATAAGGTTCTCAAATAAATAAAACTGTAGATGGAAATACATATCTTAGATGCTTGGTTTAAACTATCAAATCAAATTGACTGAAATAAGTGTGTGGTCATGGATAAAAAAAAATATTCATCCAAATGAAGTTCACTCAAACCAGTGGTACTCTCAACCGAGGTGATGGTGAATTTTTCTTTACCAATAAAAAAGCATAGTTGTGTATCACAGGAAAGGTATGTATGACAAGTAGACATGTCAAACAAAAACTTGATGGACAATTTGACTTGATTTAAAGTTTTTGATTAATTCACAACAAAAGTATTCTCAAAGTACGCTGAAGAAAGCAATACATCCAGTGACAGTGTACTATTTAAATACAGCTACGACACAATTTAAAACACTTCCTGTCCAAATTTAAAAGTTGCCACCTAGATTTACCTAAGCAAATAGGTACAAGCCTCTTATTGGATAATTACTGCAAGGAAGATTATCTTTCAGCTGGCAAAGAGTTTGTTAACCCCGACTGGTACAATGAGTTGCTTCTCATTTCCGTGTGGAAAGACACATCTTGTGATTGTAGAAAATATGTTAGTCTATTTTAGAAGTGTCAAATCATGCAGAGGAAATATCTAAAGAGATTCCAGCAATTACTAAAATTGGGTTGAGAACTTCCAAACTCATTATTAAAAACTGGTCCGATGAGTCTAGATGGACCCGGTTCCAGAGTGACGGGTGCATCAGGTTAAGAAGAGAGGCGGATAAAGTGATGCACCCATCATGCCTAGTGCCTACTGTACAAGCCTGTGGGGGCAGTGTTATAATGATCTAGGGTTGCTGCAGTTGGTTAGGTCTAGGTTCAGCGACAGGATGTGCTCCAAGAATGAGGTCAGCTGACTACCTGAATGTACTAAATAACCAGGTTATTCCATCTTCCCTGATGGCACGGACACATTCCAATATGACAATGCCAGGATTTGCCAGGCTCAAATAATGAAAGAGTGGTGCAGGGAGCATTAGACATCATTTTCACACATGGAATGGCCACCACAGTATCTAGACCTTAACCCCATTGAGAATCATTGGGATGTAATGGAGAAGGTTTTGTGCAGCGGTCAGACTCGACCATCATCAGTGCAAGATCTTGGTGAAACACTAATGCAACACTGGATGGAAATAAAACTTGTGACACCGAAGAAGCATATTGAAACAATGCAACAGCAAATGTGTGCTGTAATCCAAACTAAAAGCTGTCCAACGGCATTGGAGTGGGTGACCTTTTTGGTTTTTGGGTGGCAATTTTTGGTGTGCGCCAGGCAGTGTGTAATATGAAAATGAATGATGACGTCTGATGGTTTTTCTGATCAGAAAAGGGTACAATGCATTCAATGGATCAGGGATGAGGTCTTGTGGATGGGTGCTGTGTCTACAATAATGGGGAGAGATAGAGCTGAGCCAGCAGGCAGATTTCTAAATTTGGGTAGTAACCAAAACAATTAGATTGTAGATATAAGCAGCCAAAATGAGTTTTCTCTGCAGGGTGGCTGGGCTCTCCTTTAGAGAAAGGGTGAGAAGCTCGGTCATATGGGAGGGTCTTGAAGTAGATCCGCTGTTCCTCCATTTGAAAATGAGCCAATTGAGGTGGCTTGGGCATCTGGTTAGGATGCCTCCTGGATCCCTCCCTGATGAGGTTTGCCAGGTGCATCCAACTGGGTGGAGACCTAAAAAAGACCCAGGACATGCTGGTAGAGGGGCAATGTTTCTAATCTGGCCAGGCAATGCCTTAGGATCCCCCTGGAGGAGCTGGCCCATGTGGCTGGGAAGAAGTAAATCTGGGCCTCTCTGCTTAAGCCGTTGCCCCGTGACCCGACCCCACATAGATGGAGAAAAAAGGGTAGATGGAGATTATAAAATGTAATTTACTAAAATTCTGTCAATCTAAGCAAACAATCAGAAAGCATCAAAGTACTGGGGGACAGAGGAGTGAAAAGACTCAACAAGAAACCCCCAGCAGAACACTCATGATGGTCAATGACCTGGGTTATTAAGAGAGCAGGAAGGAGGCACAACCTGTCAGTTGTGAGCCTTCCCCCAACTGTCTCAAATAAAAATATGTTTTTTGTCCTTGGGTGCCTTATGGTGAAGTAGTCAACAACAACAAAAAAATTAAACAGGGAAACCAAATTCAAAACTACAGCATGCCACGCCCCAGGTATATGGACCTGTCTCACCGGCCACTTTATTGGGTTCACCTTGCTAGTACCAAACTGGACACCCTTTTGCCCTCAGACCTGTCTTAATTTGTAATACATTTTGGTCCATATTGACATGATTGCATCACACAGTTGCTGCAGATTTGTCGGTTGCACAACCATGATGCAAATCTCCCATTTTGCCACATACCAAAGGTCCTCTATTGGATTGAGATCTGATGAATGTGGAGGCCATTTCAGTACAGTGAACTCCAGTTTGAGATTATTCAAGTGTTATGACATGGCACATTATCCTACTGGAAGTAGCCATCAGAAGATGGGTACACTGTGGTCATAAACAGATGGGCATGTTCGGCAACAATACTCAGGTAAGCGGTGGTGTTGCAGTGATGATCAATTAGTTCTAAGGGGCCCAACGTGTGCCAAGAAAATGCCCCTACACCATCACACCACCAGCAGCAGCCTGAACCATTGATACAAAGCAGAATGGACCCATGCTTTTATGTTGTTGATGCCAAATTCTGACTCTACCACCCAAAAGTTGCAGCAAAACTCGAGACTCATCAGAGCAGGCAACATTTTCTAATCTTTTATAGTCCAATTTTGGTGAGCCTGTGCAAATTGTCCAGCCCCAGTGTCCTGTTCTTAGTTGACAGGAGTGGCACCCGGTGTGACCTTCTGCTGCTGTAGCCCATCCACCTCAAGGTTCGACATGTTGTGCGTTCAGAGATGCTCTTCTGCATACCTTGGTTGTGATTCATGGTTATTTGAGTTACTGTTGCCTTTCTATCAGCTCGAACCAGTCTGGCCATTCTCATTTGACCTCTGGCATCAAAAGGCATTTTCGCCCACAGAACTAACGCCTTAGGGGGTGTTTCCCACTTTGACCTTGGGGCTTCCAGTCCATTCTCTGCACAGCTGTTTCTGTACACAATGCTAGCCACTTGGCTGTGACGTTCCATGAATGCTTTCTCTGCCAGCATCTTACACCCTGCATTTATGTGGTGGATTGTCTCAGGGGCCTAGCCTACACCTTGGGTCTTGTCTTATGTGGTAGATCTTGGCCTCTGTTGCGCTGGTGTTCAGGGTCTGTTCCTGTGCACCCATGATGAGTGCCTCTGTGCTGCCCTTCAGACCAGCTCTTTCTAGCCATTGGTAGGATTTCTTGGTATCAGCGACTTCAGTTATCTGTAGGTGGTATGTCCCATGTAGGGGTTTGTCCTCCTATGATGGTATTTCCAGGACTTCCTCTTCTGTTCACCTTTGTCTGAGACTTTCACTAAGCATGTCATCTTCTGGAGCCTTATCCTTGATGTACTTTTGCATTTTGGATTTTTCATTCTGGACAGTGCCTCTCACACTCACCAGTCCTCGACCTCCTTGTTAACGGTACTGTTCCATCTCAGTGTGCTGGGCTTGGGATGAAACCCTCCATGCATGGTTAGGAGCTTCCATGTTTTAACATCTGTGGTCTGTATTTCTTCCTTTGGCCATCTTATTATTCATGCATATCTTGTCATGACTCCCAATCCTTCACCCTCCTCTGCCTTCATGCAGCACACCTGGTCCCCTCACCAAGCTCCAGCCAAGCCCTGTTTTCCCTA